TCATCCCTCACGATTCTCCAGCTGGAGATGACAAGAACAAGGTAGGGAAACAATGAAAGAGTGCAAAATGAAAAAGACTTCAATGCATAAAAGGAAAGAGAAATTTGTCTAAAGTAAACTGTGTCAAAAGCAACAGGGCACAGTGGATCACTGAAAATGAAAGAAAATAAAAGGTAGAACAAGAAAATAGAAATAAAAGCAGCAGGGGAGCAAGAAGGGTAGAGTCAATTCAACAACTTAAAAAAACATTAACGTTCAGATTGCACAGAAACTTAACACACCACATCAAACCCTACAGAAGTCTCTCTGGTGCATTTACGTCTGTACAACATATACAATTCATTTTAGTAAGCTGATTGTGCTTTTAGAATAGCGAAACTAGGGAAAACACAGCGCTCCTTGTGCTAGGCCCCTGTACTTGGGAATGAAAAAAATAAATACACAGAAGACCAGAGATGTGAGTCTGGAATAAAGAACAAAAGAATGAGAATGAACTGAGACAAGCCCTCCAATGCCACCTGCTAGTTTGACTTTGGTCAACAGTATTTTATAGCCTTGTTTTCAATTTAAAGGAGAAAAGAAGCAGAAATTTGGATGTAACACGCTGGCATGCCATAGAAGTTTTAATCCAAGAAATTCATGTTGTCTTTTTGTTTAAAAACAGGTTCAGATTGCACCGTTTTCTATCAGTGAAGAAGGATTTAAACCTGTTTTATGAAAAGGGAAAGCTGAGTCCTTGCAGCCACCTGGCCACAGCAGGGAGGAACCCGGTGTCCTGCCATCGCACCACGCTCCGTGTGAGGGTCTCGCACAGGCAGCAGTAACACAGGCTTGTCTGGCTGCTGTCTGGGCAGACTGACAAAATCCCTGAGAAGGTATGTAACCACTGAGCTTCACTTGCAGTTCCAGCTCCAGGGAAATTTCTGGAAAGCCTAAGGGAAAATATGGGGGCTGAAGGATAAACTTAGCTAATAGCATAAGCAGAGGTATTAGAAGAGAACTATAGTCTCAACTATTACCCTTAAAAGAAAAAAGACTGGGACCTGAATTTTCCTGAAGTCTGAAAAAGGTTGCTTTTCAGACATATCTATCTTCATACATAGCACATGGATCATTTTTTAACCAAACCGAGGTTATATTTAGACCCAAGTACCATGACCGTGCGCTTCATGTTTTTTTAAACAAGCCAAAATGCAAAGGTAAAACATGAAATAATGAACAAAGTATCAGACTGGAACAGACTCTCAAAACATGGAACCTGTTTCCACAAGCATGGGCAATTCTTTAAGAGCCAATCAGAAAAGTTAAAGTTAGAATGGATGATGCCCAAAAAAACTACACGAATGGGACAATCAAACAGTGTTATTTCTCCTGGCCCTTGACTAACACAAAATGGATATTATGGGGGAATAAAAAAGCAAGAATCGATGACTTATAAATAAGTAATCACTTTCAGAACAAATGCAATAGCTATTACCGTTTGTGTAAAATGCATTTGTGCAATGATTTTTATACTTCTGTACGAGGGATCCACACAAATCTAAATCTGAATTCCCGATTCAATGTCAGAACTCCTTGGTAAGTGGAATTAACATTGCTCTCATGACTTCCAGAACAGCTGAGTCTGGCAGAACTCAAATGCTGTGGTAACTATCAACACAAGTGATTCGAACGAGTGCAAAACAAACCCTCCAGAGATGTGTCCATGCAAGTAGACGCAAACAGTAGGGCTGGCAGCAGCCAAGAAAGTTATCTCCAGGAAATGTAGTGGCGTTTATTATTATATATCTAGCTGTACTGAAGAAAAGAGAAAAACTAGGGAGTATTTTGTGGATTTCCTATTATGATCCGCAGCAGATGGGGATATACGGGATGTTTCCCACAGGAGGAAGTCTTTTCTACTGACCCTACGATTAAGGTCAAAGGGAGGGGATGGATGTGTGCATGAGAAGACCCACTGTACTCCATCTTTGCCACGGTTGGTGAGGCCATAAAAGTACTTTTGCGATGATGATTATTGGTAGTTAGGTGGTTAGGTTACGGTTATGTTTAAGTGAAAGTAGCACATTCAGCATCACGCGCGTAGGGGGGTTGCGAACGATGGAGACGCACTGGAGTTCAGCAGCCAACCAATGTGAATCACAGCGCTTAACTCTCAATGCAAAGACACCCTGGAGACACTGCTTGAGACCACGCGAGACTGCTACGGATGGCTCAATGACAGTGGCGATACCCTGCGGGGCACACTGCTGGCAGTGCCATGTTCCACCACCCAGAAGGAGGATATGGCCATTGGGTCCCAGCCACAGGGAATGCCCCGGGCATCCTCTTGAGCCTCACACCTCTGGGAGGTGCACACTGGTTGGGTGCCATGTCACCAGTGAAGGGTCTGCAGGAGTGGGTTAGCAGACTCAGTGGCATCCAGAGGACCAGGCTGAACCCAGTGTCCGCATCCAGAGGAAGCCATGGGAAATAGTCACCAGAGACACCTTCCTGGAGATGGAGGCCCCTATCTGCCAAACTCCAAAGGTTTGCTGCTTGCTGCGGGCTGAGATTTGGGAGGTGGTGGAGAGGCTGCCAAGGCTCCTCTGGACCCTCATGCTATCACCCGTTGCTGTCCAACCAGACAGCCACCAACAACACAGCCAAGAGAGGCTTTGAGCATATCCAGAATAACTCAAGCAGTCAGTGGAGCAGGGGTATATAAAAGATGAAGTACCTGATGTCTTCCCCAGACTGGTCAGGTCTACTTTTGGCCTGAGCCTAGAGACAGAGCCTCTGGGAACATGGCATTACCCATTGCAGAGGAAGCTACAGTGCAGAGGGCACTTAAACCAGCTGGACATAAAAAAGTCCACAGGACCATGCAGGGTGCATCCCAGCATGGTCCCAGGTGAAGATGCTGGTTGATGTTACTGCCAAGCTGCTTGTTTTGAAAGGTCATGACAACCGAGGGAGGCTCTTCATGACTGGAAAAAGGAAATATCACACCCATTTTCAAAAAGGGCAAGAAGAGGATCCATGGAACTACAGGTCAGCTGGGCTGACCTCATTCCCTGGGAAGGTGGTAGAGCAAATGTTCCTTGAAGTCATTTCCAGCCACAGGAAGGACAAAAAGGAATTGTGAACACCAAGTGTGGATATACTAAAGGCAAATCACACCTAACAAACCTGACTGCCTTCTGTGCTGAGGTGGCTGGAGGTGCAAATAACTCGATATGTGCATAAATGGAAAGGAGAGCATATTGCTCAATGCATACCCTGAATGCAATAAGGCCTTTGACAAAGTCTCCTTATAGCCAAACTGGTGACATACAGACTGGATTAGTGGACCGTAAGGGAGGCAGAAAACTGGCTGGTGCACAGGCTTAAAGGGTGATGATCACTGGTATGAAGCCCAGCTTCTGGCCAGTTACTAATGGGTCCCTCAATGGCCAGTACTGCTTAGCATCTTTATTAATAATCTAGTTGATGGAATAGGGTGCACTCTCAGCAAGTTTGCTTGTCATACCAAGTTGGCAGGAGTGGCTGATATGCTGGAGGAGCTGATCAAACAAGAGGTTTTGGGAACTCTGTCCATGGAGGTATTCAGGTCTTGACTGAATGAGGCCCCAGGTGAACCTGATCTAATTTGGCACTGCTTTGAGCAGGAGGTAGGACTACAGACCTCCATATGACCCTGCCTCAACTACTCTACAGCTGAATGGATAATGTCTTGTCAAAGTTGATTTAAGGCATGCACTTCCACAGCACCACAGAGATTACAAAAGTATCTCCTGTAATAAAATAAAGACATTGTTTTATTCAAGAGTTGAGCAAGAAAAGTATTCAGTACTGCAGAATAATGTTGCCACAAGGCCCACAAATATATAGTGGCAATAAATAAATTCAGGCTGAAAATTAAATTCCATTCTATATGGAAATCAAGGAGACGTGGAGAGGCTTTACAATTGGAATAACAGAGGTCTACCTAGTCTTGAATCTACAAAGAGACCAACATGCGCTTACAGTGGGGGATAACAATGTATTGGAGTCAGTACTTCCAGAAGTTCCACTCAGTTTTTCTTCCTCCAGCCTCCAGAGCTAGAGGGTTAACAATCGCAGCAGACGGCTACAACATCCAAAATTTCAAATTGAAAAACACCAAAATGAAAAAAATTGCAATGACCTGCTTTCACAGCCACCAAGAAGGCCAAACGGGTGTCAGGTGTCCTAAGCATTTCTTTTCAAACAGATCAGCATGTATTTTCTCTGAATAATTTGACTCAGCTTCATTCTAGCTTTCTAAGCACAAACGAGTTTTCCGAATGCTGCCTTTCTGCACTTCGGGTTTGTACCTTGTGGAGTTCTACCTGTCATTCCTGAATTTAGGGAAATCTGCTTTCTCGAAGTCCATTGCTTTAGTTTTCTCCCCTCGGTTTCCGAAGACTGAACTCTGTCAAACATCTGTATTTGCTCTTAATGGTTCGTCTACACTAGGAGACAATTTTCTACGAGGTCGTATCTATTTTGCTGTTGTAACCTTACTAAGGTTACATTTGGTTTCACTCCCTTTTTTTACCACTACTAGTGTCTTTTTGCTGACTGGAGGCTGGCAGTGCCTCTGGGGGAAGCACAGATTTCTAGCACAAACATTAAAACAAGATTTTCTGGAAAAAAATCTGATTATGCGATTGAGCTTATCAAAACTGACAGCAGAAATTCTTCTCCCCTTAGTCATACAGTGAAAAACACTGTAGAACTCAATGGGGAGAACTCACAGCTTTTTGGAAAATAAACCTTTGGAAAAAAAAAATCAGGAAAAAAGAGTAAAAGATCATCTGAGAGAATTATATTTGAGACCACATTTTTCCACTCGGACAACTGCAATCTTAGGTATTCCGGCATCAGAGGCAAAGTGCTAGAAATGAAAGAATTGCCCAAGGTACGTTGTCAAAGCCACACAACATGACAGAAACCCATTGCTGAGATTTTTACCCTTGCGTCTCTTCTACGTGCAAGTTTTGACCGCCTTTGGTTTTCACGAAAACGGCATTTTTCCTCCCCAGGATGGAAAGTCAGAACGTCTTCCTAAGCCTACTGCTCTGCTGCAGTTTGCTCAGAGCTGCTGATTCTTATATGGTAATTGAGGAGAAGACAGAATGCAACCTCTCCAGGAGCAACAAAATGAATCTCCAAGATCTCCCGCCCATCACCATAGTAGGTTAGTAAAATCTGCCGTTCGGTGCCAAATTAACGAGATTTCCAGAAAATACAATTGTCAATAAATATGGATCATTTGGATAGCTTACTGCAGCATCGCAATTTCATACAAAGGCCACAGCAGTACCCAGAACTGCAGTGGCAACATGGCCGCAGCATCCAAGGGTGGCAATTTGGCAAAGCACAGTAAAGAGTAAAAAAAAAAGAAAAAAAAAACCACAGACAACTTATCTTAGCTTTACAGATTTCTCTACAGGTCCTATCATAGTATAAGTCTTTTTATATTGAAGAGAAGTGCTTTTCTGTTAATACGGACATTCATCTGCCTTTGAAAGTCTAGTGCAAATAGAAAAAGGGAACACAACTCTTTTTTTCTTAGGATCTGCTCTTGTAGCAGAGAAATCAACAGTTCTCTAAGCTACTAACGTAACCTCTGTTTACCTGTGTGCCAAGCGATCTTTCAGCAGGGGAGGAAAAGAGCGCTGCAAGGGAGAGCCAGAGGTCATCTGTTTACCCAAGACAGGACCAGCTGTGTCGGTACCGTCGCGGCAGGTGACCATCTGTCCTGTCAGTGAAGAGCCTGCGCAGGGCAATGCTTCACTCTCTTCTCCACAACTTTTTTCCTAGCACCTGCCTTAACTCTTTCAATGTAATTTAAGCCAACCTTTTTCTTTCGATAAACTTGCAGGTATTTGGGGATAATTAGCTGCAGAACATCATTCATAACTGTGTCAAAATTTTAATAATTCAAAAAACACGGTTTCTCTTGGTTAGCTGCTTTCTACAGGGTTTTAGGACTTTTGCTGAAAGCAGGTTGGTTTCTTACCTTTGTTCCTGTATTTTCTTGGCACACTTGCTCAGGACAGTGTTTCCTTAAGGAGCGACAGTTGCCCCACACAGGCATTTCCAATGAAATCTGAACCCCTGAATCCTGAGTTAACTGCAGGTTGTTTAACTGCAAGTTTATTAAAACTTGTGCTGGTCGACAGCCTCCCAAGCCACCTCATTTCAGGGTCCTTGTGATTCTAGATGCCTTCAGTCTTACACTTCCAACAATTTTTTTTGCTCCAGTTAAAATCGGAGGTATAAAACACATTCCCTGCAGCTGATTTCTCTATCTTCTTGCAAAAATGTCCCCTGCCTTAAACACGGCAGACAGGCTATGTCATGCCATATTGCTTCGTCAGCAGGCATCCAAGATAGCAAAAATCCCCTAACGCTGTCAAGCCCTCCTGCTCCAGAAGGTTCCGCAATGCCTCCCAAAGACCCCGCCTCCCCCTCGGCCCCACTTGGCTGTCTGCAGGAGACACCTCCTCCGGCAGCAGCCGAGCATCCAGGTGTCCTCCCCACTCCACAGCGAAGCCCGGCTGAGCTGATTTCCCCTTTTATAGTCACCAGAGAGAGAAAGCAATTAGCCAAAGCAAGCAAAGAAATCCACAGCAGACTCAGGGGCTGAATCTAAGCAAACAACACAACCTCCAGCTCACCTTTACACTCGTTCTTCTCCTATACACATACAAGCAGACTGAATATTTGACACTGAAAACGCAAGAATAATTCAGAGGAGCAGATCCTGGCATAACGCTCACCTCAGCTGTAGTCTGCTTGTCTCACAGGACAGCGTAACGAAGCCAACATCATTCGCCAGCCGGAACGGGATGTAAACCACCGATCCTAGTCAGTGCAATGCCTGTTGTAAGACATGCTCCTATAACGTGACATTAGCTTTACATGCCTGAAGTATAGTTTTTCCTCCCACTGTTCCTCAGAGCTGTATAACCGTAACTGTAACAATAATATAGGTAATAAATGAATGCCCTCCCCCCCTCAAACAGCCCAAAACATGTATTCTTCATCCTGTAATTACATAAATCCTTGCAATTATTAAATATTCAAAAAGATATGGATAGCAAATACTGGAACAGACAATGAGTCCCCGTTTATCGGTGGGTGTACGTAAATTCTCATTTCTAGTTCAAGTATGCTTACTAAAAGTTGTTATTCAGGAAGAGTATGAAGCCACATTTTATTAGCAACATTGGACTATCATTTTCGAGAGAACTGTCAACAAAACTTCTCCTTTGCAGATGATTATGTGTCAGCTTGCTGATCAACTCCTACACTGTATTTCTGGTATGCTTTGCTTCACCCTGAACAGCTGGTTTTGGAAGCTTAAGTCTTTCAGCAAACACTTCATAAGTAAGCCCAAACATACACATTCTACTTCCCAAATGAGAAGTATTTTCACTTTTAGTCTCACACCTGGTTGCATTTCAGAGGCAGTGGGATTTAACTCCAGCATCTTTTTCAATGACCACCCCACATTCTCACACTTGTTTAGGAAAATTAAAACCAGGTTATTTTTATAAAAGGAATTTGTAAGTTGTGACATGATCTAGATTT